GTGAAAGTCTGACATGTGTAGTGTTTACTCATCAGGGGATAAGAACATACCTATGCGATGCGGATTCTTATGATGATGTTGGGCATCTGCTGCAACATCCTCTCCAGCACAAGCCGCCTGATATAGGCCAGCCATCAGCCCGCTGTTTGCATAAGAGCCGGCGATGTCAACTCCATCTCCCAGCACCTAGCAAGCCGTTAAACGGCAATGGTCAACATCACAAGCGGCTTCAGGGTGGGACATTCTCCACACAATCCAAACCAGCCAATGGTTGGAATGCTTGAAGGTCGGGACATGTCGGGACACAAACGTGGGGCGAGAAACATGGTGTGGGGATGTGTGGGGACACAATATGAGTCGCAAACATGTATTGACAGGAAGGGGCACAGCGAGAAGCACTCTGGAGGCATGGCCGCATAAGGTTGTGCTGAAATCAATCATGTAGGCTGTGAGGCGGCTTGTGTATTGATGTTTCTGACCACCTTAAGTTAGCATACCTCCTGCAAAACTCTAGTAGCAATTTGTGCAACACTTGCACAGCCCAAGGCTGCCCGTGCAAGTTTGGACGGGATCCAGCTTGGGCGGTACTGCTCCAGCTCCCGCTGGAACATGTCATTCTGTGAAACCATTCTAGCCTTCCCTTCCTTCGAGATAAACGCACTTCACGCCTAATACATTCCAAAGCACCCCTGGAAGCTGGAGCTTGTCTGTTGTACTCATCACATGTGGCCGCCAGGAAGATGGAAGGTGCGATGACCTCAAGCTTGATCGCACCACATGAACCACATTGGCCAAAGCTGTGATTTGTGGCAGTCAGCAAATGACTCCGCCCCTCTCTCCTTGGCATTTACTACACAACAAACCACATGTCACATGTCCAGCAAGCTCTGCCGCACAATCGTCCGTTTCCAATCTTGGAAGATCTTTCAAATAGAGGGTTGGCATCTGGCTGCCCAACAGTCAAGTCCAGCCCTGATGCTCGCCTTGATCTTAGAGCGCCGATGCCAAGATGAACACGGCACAGCTCCTGAAATGGCTTGAGCAGCTTGCGATAGCTTGTGCATTGCTCCCACCCTGAACAGCATCGTACACTGCCTGACTCATGAACTCCAGCACCCGCAAAGGCCGCAAACGCTAAATGCCAAAGCGTTCGGATCCTGAATGAAGTTCACCAGGTGCCGAGCCGTTGCTGTCCCCTTGGTCTTGGTGATCTTGGTCTTTGTCTTTGAATGTGCTTTCCTTGCTTGTCTGGAGTAGGCCATGCATGGAAGAGATTGCACCCAACTCTTTGGAATAACGATTCTAGAAAATGACTGCCCCAGCAAGCTCATGTGGCAACATGTGGTGCTGTTATCTTCAAACTCATCCTGGCAATTCTGATTCCAAAGAAGCATCTGATTCATCTGCACAGCACTTCTAAGCCTCTAAGTCTAAGCAGCCTCCAAACACTTCGGTACAAACGTTTCCAGTGCCGCACATCTAGACGCCTTGGCTCCAACGGCTCAAATATGCCAACGCTCACGTCAGGCCAGTCCTGAGTCCTCTGGGCGCTGCGGCCAACACGGCCCACAGCTGCGGCAATGGTGGCACGCGCATCTGAAGCAAAGCAACCTGGCGAAGCAGAAAGTGTACGACTGTGATTTCAGCTTTTTTTGATCTTTTTTGTATCGTTTTGTAGTTCGTTTTGTCACATATGCTCGGGGGGTTAGGTGGGTAAGAGTAGGTGATACTAGCTTCAGTATATAATTATCGGCAAGAAGCTGAAGGGTTCATGCATCTTCAAGGAAGCCTGAGCCTTCATGATTTGGTTCAACCTACTAGCAGTGGCCTCCAACTTGCTAGGGATGGCCTCCCTAGTTTTTGTGATAAACTTAACTTGGTTTGGTTTGCAAGTTATATATCTCCCGCGGGTTTTCCAGCTCTCGGGTGGCTTGGATGGCAATCCTGCAATAAGAAAGGGCTGATCACATCAAACAAATGCAAACGCCCAAGCACATCGACCCAAACAGGGGCTGTGCTGTGCATCGGGGCTATGGATCAAAAGCGTTCCAAAGCATTGTATGAAACCTCAGCTGAAATGCCATGAACTCTGGCAACTCTAGCCATTCCAACACCATGGCCTAGCCATTCCAATTAAGCTGAATATGATCAGCTCGTCCACCAGTTGTAAGCATATTGTGTTTGGTTATTTCCTCATCTTGTGTACACCCGGTTTTGATCCACAACCTGGCAACTCTGCACCATGTGTTCGACAGACTGCTTGGCAGATCTGACTTCTGGGGCGAATGTCTGCAAGATTCTTTGCCTCGCTTCACACATTTCACGTTAGCCTCGGAGATCTCCTCTCCTAGTCGTCCTGCACGGGCGATGATTTCGAGCGCCCAAGTCTACTGCCAAGAAAAATGCCTCAAAGAAAGAACAGTCACATCATGTCACATAGAACATTTTTGTTGAACTGGAGACTCAACACAAAAAAATCACAAAAGCGTCGTCCACGCGCCTCTTCATCATCATCCTCGGGTTCGTCATCGTCCTCCTCGGGTTCGTCGTCATCTTCCCCTTCTGATTCTGGTTCGTCGGCATCCTCACCTTGTTCCTCCTGATCCTTCGGCTCCTCTTCATCCTCTTGTTCCTCCTCACTCTGGTTCGCTTGCTCTGATTCCTCTTGTTCCTCCTCACTCTCGTGCTCTTGCTGCGCCTCGTCTTCCTCTTGTTCCTCACTCTCGTGCTCTTGCACTGCCTCGTCTTCTTTCTCCTCATCTTCTTTTAGCTCCTCCCCCTCCTTCTCCTCCTCCTCACTCCTGGTGTCTTGCTTTTCCTCCTTCTGCTCCGACTCCTCAGGCGCAGCCTGTTGCTCCTTGCCTTCTTCCTTGCCCTCTGTCTCGTCATTCTCCTCCTCCTCCTCATCGCCTGTGCTAGGTCCTTTTGCATTTTGCAAATCCTTTGGCTGGATACTATCCACTTTGGTGTTGTCAAGCTCGCTGCCTGCAAGTATAATGTTTTGCTCTATGAAAGTTTGTTGGACCAGATTCTGCTCCTGTTCAATCTCCACGTTCGTCTCATTTTTGATTTCCAGGTGCTGCTCATTGATTGTGCTTGAGCTCATTCGTTTCACATGGCTTGTGGCCTCAAAAAAACAACTGACTGTGTGAAGAAGCTGCGCCCCTTCAAAGTCATCCAACCAATTCCCACCATCCAGCACCATCTCAACCCAGAAACATGTGTCAACAAAACAGTCAGCTGGTCCTTGCAGCCTGGGAGCTGCATCCCACCAGTGCCCGGAGTCCTGCGAACCTCCGCCCGCCTCAGCATGGGTTACACAATTGCTTTGTGAGGTTTTCTAGCAATAGATTTTTGTTCCCCCAAATGATGAGATGGATGTAGATCAAAATGTCTCAACCGAATCCCGTTGAAGCCTGCAAACATTCCATAAACTCTCCGTTTGCCCCCGCACAACCAGCAACAACTTTGTGGAACTCCCAGCCTGCAAGGCATTAAAAATTTGATCAGCTCCAAAACCACCGCCGCCCATGATGTTTGCGTAGGGTGTGCATCCATCACTGCCTCACTGCAAGATGGATCAAAGCGGAACACGTGCCCAACCCACTACCAACGGTCTGAAAATTGCAAACAAAGCGCTTGCGAGCCAATAATGGCGGTAGCTAAACGACATTCCTTCAAAATACTGTAACAAAGCTATACTTATAGTGTTCATCTCTTTAGTGTTTGCCTACTGCGCGCAGCCGCCACGGAGGCCCCCAGTCTTACTGGTCACCAGCCAGGTTGCTTCGTGCGTTGGCCAGCATCTGTTGACCAGAGGGCGCTGTGGCCATGGAGGCCATGAAGCCAGCCAACAAGGCACTGCTGCCCACAAGCATGGCTGCATTGCCTCCAACGTTGGCGCCTTGGGAGTGTTTGGTGCCAAAGGATGGGCTGCCGTAGGATTCCAGTAAATGTATACAATGGACATTGCAAAATGACAAACCCATAAAATACAAAACCCATAGAGCCGGGGTCACCGGGTCACCCAGACTTCTTGGCATATCTTCTGACTATTTGATATTAATTGATATTACTATTATATACAAGATTATACAAGTAACGGCGATACTCACTCACGCTTTGGTCTCAAACATCACTTACCCCTTGACCCTTGGAATTTAAGGCAAAAGCGCCGGCGCGGCGTGCCCCTTGGCGTCTCCTCAAATAGATGTTTTTCGCCTGGTGTTGTCTGTGCCCTGAATGCTTTGAGTCCGGCCGTTCTCGCCTCCAGTGCCCGGACCGCTGGCGCCACCAGAGTCAAAGCCGCGGGCTGCTTGGGTGCCCGGTTTGGCCGGCAAGGAGATGGTGGTCAAGGAGAAGGGCTGACTCAGTGCAACGTGGCGTGATGCGCTTCAATCATAGCATGCTTCATTGCGGCAAGTATAGGTCCAGCTTGTTAGTTTTCACCGTGGCATAACCCAAATACGGGAGCGCGACCGACACACACACACACACACTTATAGAAATGCGCACTGATGTGAATGCCGCTCGCCACACGGCAGCCTAAGAAGCCAAATTCCTGAAAAGTAAGGTATGAGGAGGCCTGAGCATCTGTAGTGGTTAGGAGGCCAGAGGTCCAAAGTGCAACTCCAAAGCTCAAGTCGCGAAAGTTGCAGCAAGGTTCAAAAACGACGGTCGCGAGCCGACAGGGACGACGAACCCGTGCAGAGTCCAAAGAAAAGCCCTATGCATGACTGCAAAGAAGATGAGGGTAACAGCTTGTGAACATCACAACTAAGCAGGCACACGGAGGTGATCAATCTCCGCTTCCCCCATCGCGGAACAGCTTCGTTGGCACAGGGGTATCCACGATGGGCCTGTGCCCCCTGCTGAAAAAGGAAACAATCCAAAAGGAACCTTGTGACTCCAAAGGTTACACTCTGACATTGGTTTGCTGTTAACTCAATTCCCGCGTTGAGAAGGAAAGTGAGGGAAACGAGGTGAAAAGGTCAGCGCAACTGAAATGTTTAACAAATTGTTCGCTTGTCTGCAGTTCACGAAACGCGCAGCAGCTGAAAGTGGCGGAGGGAAAATGGTTTGTGGGAAGCATCATGAACCACCATGCAAACAAAAAAGAAAGATTGGACAGCGTGAGTCAACCGTTCCTTGGCAGGTACAAGAGCCGGCGTCCCAGCTCTCTTCCAACTGATTTCCGTAGCTTCGTTGGCACGGATGGGAAATCAGTCTCCGTGCCCCCTGCGTGATTAATGGAAGTTGTAAGGTGGAACCCTTGGAAACAGGGGTTGACGCACACACGGTGCCGCTTGGCGCTCGCGTGGAAGGCCTGAATAGATACCTAAAAAGCCTTAGAAACAAAAGAAAGAAACACAGAAAGAGCAGCGCTAAGAGGGCAAGAGAGAAAGATAGGAGTAGAGAAATGAAAAAATGAATACTTAGCCCTTGACTGGGGTAGGGAAACGCGCCTCAAGAACAACCTAAAAAGCCTGAGAGAAAGCCCAGGAAACAACAAAAAGCGTAAGAAAGAAATGGGGGGGCAGGGAGGGGATGTATGTGGCATGTGTGTGTCCGTGTGTGTGTGTATGACTACCTAGCACTCTAGGGTTACTGACTACTTAGCAGAAACGAATTACTGACTACTTACGGGACTTTAGTCTTAAACCGCCCGGGGAGAGTAGACTAGAAAAGGGACAACAGAGGGAAAGGCACCGACACACAAGTGTGTCGAGGACCATTTCCCTGCGTTACCCTAATTAGGTAGGGAGTAGAACTCGGTGGGGGGGGGTTTGGGAGACCTGCCTCCAGTGGGTTGAATTCCGTTTTTTAGCCCGGCGGCTATGGTATCCGTGAGAGCCCGGCGGCTTTAGATTCCGACAATTCAGTAGTGAGACTAAGGCTGTTAAGGTGATTCACAAAGACGATGATTCAGTAACACAATTTCCGGCATGAAAACGGCACCTCCTTGCGGGGGATCACACCCAGCACCCAAGTGGGACGGCTGAGCGGTTCACACTCTGACATTGGTTTGCTGTTAACTCAATTCCCACGTTGAGAAGGAAAGTGAGGGAAACGCAAGGTGAAAAGGTCAGCGCAACTGAAATGTTTAACAAATTGTTCGCTTGTCTGCAGTTCACGAAACGCGCAGCAGCTGAAAGTGGCGGAGGGAAAATGGTTTGTGGGAAGAAGTATCACGTCCCAGCTCTCTTCCAACTGATTTCCGTAGCTTCGTTGGCACGGATGGGAAATCAGTCTCCGTGCCCCCTGCGTGAACAATGGAAATTGTAAGGTGGAACCCTTAGAAACAGGGGTCGAGGGGAGGTGTTCCTTTTCAATCAAGCTCCGGGCGAGGGTGAGGTTGGGTGAAAATTGAACCTACGAGAAGCGGTGAATCTCACGAAAGGTCTGGTAGGCGGTCAAGGGTAGACGGAGTTGTCCAACAATCCATGTACATGAAGGATTTCCCGATGAAGGACCGCTTGAGCAACCAAGGAGATGCCCTCCGTCTGCGCCAGTCCAGCAGGAGATGGTGGTATGGCGGGAGCGGGGATAGGTGGGGGAGGAATCATCACTCTAAGGATCTCTAAGGGGACCCGTCGAACGGGGGTTAGTCGAACGTAACTCCCTGTCCGGATACAAAGCAGCTCGCAGCGAGCGTAGGTGGCCTAGGCCAAAGTCATTTGCCAAGACTTCACGAAGTACTGAATTCTAAGCCTAAGCTGGCTTATGCCTTTACGTGACCACAGCGGTCAAAAGCCGTTAGGAGGCCAAAGGTCCAAAGTGCAACCCCAAAGCTCAAGTCACGAAAGTTGCAGCAAGGTTCAAAAACGACGGTCGCGAACCGACAGGGACGACGAATCCGCGCAGAGTCCAAAGAAAAGCCCTATGCATGACTGCCAAGAAGATGAGGGTAACAGCTTGTGAACATCACAACTAAGCAGGTACACGGAGGTGATCAATCTCCGCTTCCCCCATCGCGGAACAGCTTCGTTGGCACAGGTATCCACGATGGGCCTGTGCCCCCTGCTGAAAAAGGAAACAATCCAAAAGGAACCTTGTGACTCCACAGGTTACACACACGCTCTCACATGCCCGCAAAAGGACAACAAGGGCACGCGCAACAAAAACACACGAAACAACTGCATGAAGGACACACACACACACACACACGTGAACGGAAGAGTTCAGATAAACAAGTCTGGGTCAGGGGTTTCGGTTGGCCAATGGTGGTCAATTCAATGGCCAAGCTCGAAGGGGATCGATGATGTTGGGGCGCTTGAGCTCAATCAGCAAGGAGGTGGCCAACTGAGGGACTTGATCGAAATCCTCCTCTTCCAGCCGCTCCCTGATCCTGGCGAGTTGACATGCCTTCAAACAAATAACTGGATGCGTTGGAGCTCAAGGTCCTTGCATTACAAAGGAGCCCATCTGAACCCATCCACACCTCCCACAAAAGACAGGCCCGCTTCTGTTTGATAAATGCGTACAACTATTCTCTTTTGACCCTTGATCTAGATCTGCTATTGGCGGAGCATTGACTATATGGCTTGACTTTTGCTTGTGTCTCGCTGATTCCGGCTCTTGCTTAGCGTGGTTCTATGGATCTTGAATCGAGACTTGACTTGCATCCTTTGATATGTGTCACATAAACATCTGATTTACGCTGGCTCAAAAAATCGTAATTGGACCACGACCTTTAGCGCGCTGTGTTGCTTTCTTATACGTTTTTGTGCCTTTTGGTGACACAATGCCCGTCTTTCGGGACACGCGCGCTCATCGCTCCTCGCTTCTCTTACCTGAGGGTGGGTGCGGGGTGGGATGTTTACGTTCGCCTCTAAGTGCACACCTATTGCGCAATACACTTCATACTCTATGCACTACGCTTCGGGTGGGATTGGGTGGGGTGGGAAAACTTTCAAACCACAGGTTTCCTAGAAGAATTGGCCACAAGTAACATCCAGAAATCCGTATGTTGGTGATGCAGTACAACCTGTACATGTGGCGCAGATTCCTTGGACCGTGCATGCCAAACAAACTGCTGACCGAGCTTTGCAAGGTGGCAATGAAGAAGCGCTGAAAGAGTAGAGAAAAAATGAACACTAGCGATCCCAAAACGAGTAAATAGTTTTCAGAATTTTACGCAAAGACATCAATGCTTGCATGTAGGAATACGCACTGCGCAGCAGTGCCATTGACATTTTCATTTCTGTCCAAGGTTGACTCTCGTAGCTACGGTAGTCTGCACACACCTCCTTTTTCTCAGTCGTCTTGCCAGTATGGTCTTCAACCTGCCATGTCCAGCAGGATAATTGCGTTGGGTTACCTGCATCAGCAGGCCTGACACAATCAGACCCTTGTGGTATCCTTCCGGTCACTCCGGAAACCACTCCCCCCCCCCTGGGGTACTTAAAAAGTGGTCTGAAAGCGGTCACTCCGCTAGATTGTGCCAGATCGCAGATCCCTGCGCAAGCCCCAGGCTAGCCGGCTAGCCCTTCAAGGGTAAAGGTGACCCCACCGGGGGCCCTTACACCAGGGTGGGCTGGGTGGGAAAAAGAGAGAACAAACGCTATTTTGGCCAAGTCACTTGAGCCAAAACATTCGTTGGTTCAAACCTATGGCAGTAATGAATACATGTTCACCCAAGCCTGCCAGACCTGAAACATGCTTACATTTCTGTCCAAGGTTGACTCTCGTAGCTACGGTAGTCTGCACACACCTCCTTTTTCTCAGTCGTCTTGCCAGTATGGTCTTCAACCTGCCATGTCCAGCAGGATAATTGCGTTGGGTTACCTGCATCAGCAGGCCTGACACAATCAGACCCTTGTGGTATCCTTCCGGTCACTCCGGAAACCACTCCCAATGCACTTCAAATTCTCCCAACGCACTTAGAGAAATTCCATAACTCGGATCACTGCTGGCAGTGGAAGGTGCCAGAGGCAGAATGGGCAAGAGACGGAAAAAGGGGTGAATCCGTTAGTTCGCCACCACGGATCGGACCAACCTAATCTTGAAATGGCGTCAGCCCAATTACTCTTAGAAGGAATGTATTCCCAATACATCCAGGTGCGCAAGGCGTACAACATCACGTGAATCAAACCGCACATGCGCTCAAGATCGGGTGACTGGGAACGACCCCGGATCAGACACATGAGGCTAGCGACGTTATCGATCAGCCAGATGCCTCGGCGACCCCGAAAGGCCTGTGCCCGGTACGTGAGGGCATAAATGATCATCACCATCTCCAACTGGGCAATCTGCCTATCGCCAGGCTCCCACAGCTGGTAAACTTCCCGAGGAATGTTGGCGATGAAGGCTTCCCGAACCGGTCCCACCGGGTCATGCCATACGATTAAAAAGCCTCCTGTGCCCTGCTTTGGCTCCTCCAAAGCCGCATCAGAAGCAACAACAAACCGCAAACACTCGGACGGCCTCACGGGGAGTTCGCGACAGGGTCGATGGTGAAGAATGGAGTGAATCACGTCAAAGTTGCGCTGAAGCTCTGGGGTGAGGTCACGGTTACGTTCCGTCTGACGTGCTTTGATGGCTGCCAAGCCTGCGCAACCCAACCTTCCGTACATGCCCTGCTCGAGAAAATTGAGCATGCCGTAGAGCTTGGACGCCTGGCCTGAGGACAGACTATTGTGTGCCTGAGCTTCGGTAAGCATCGCAGCTGTCTTCTGAATCAATCTATCTCGGGCCCAAAACGTTACGAAGCCGCTGCCCAGATTTGTGAAGTCGTGATCAAGGCCCAGAAAGGTTCCGGTCGGCTGCATCAACTGTTTCTTCTCCTCGGCGAACGGGGTGCCTAGGAGGGAGTTCAACTGGCAAAAAGCTTGTTGGCTGGAGCCGAATCCTGACTGAAGATCCGTGATGTGAGCATCATCAAAATAGAGCGACACCAGACTGTAGGTAAGCCGTCGCCCCAGGGCCTCGATGAAGCGGGAATACCGATTGAACGACGTCACTGCGAGCGGAAGGCCGAAGAGGAGCGATGAGTATACCTGGAAGGCGGGTTCCTCCCGCTCGACATGCCAAAAACAGACGATACAGCCTCGGCTCTCCTCCCGACTGATAGGGGAGTGACGGTAGGCGTTGGGCCAGTCTTCGCCTCCTGACAGCCACGCGTCGTCAGTCGTCAGCGTCTGCCACTGGTCGTCCGTCAGAAGCGAGGCTACCGCCCCTACATGTTGCGCCGGCCGCAATGGCGAGCACAAGACCAATTTGTTCCAATCCGAAGATCGCTCAGACTGGCCGCCTGTATCTCCATTGTCAATGATCCGCTTCTTGCCCGACGATTGCACGATCACACATCTGGCGATCAGGCGGAATGGCTCGCCTCGCAGTTCTCGCAGGAGCTGCGTGTGGGTCAACGGTGTAGAGCAGAAACCTTGGGCGGCATCGCTCAGCGATTGTTCGAGCAGCACTGCATCATGTCTGCCGGGTTTGAGCGATGCGATGGTCTTGTAGTTATGGGTCTCCCAATCATCGAGCACGTCCTCCATGGTGAGGATTGGCTGCTCGGGAAAGACCCCGTAGGGCGGGGCTGTGCCCACAGCTGGTAGTCCCGCTACCAAACCGTGAGGGTACGTGATGTCCGCCCAGGAAGTCAGAGTCACCAAGAGGGCCGTCAGTCCGATGTCCCGGGAACGGGTGACTGCTCGAATCGCTGATGTTTGGAGTGTCCTCACCCTGAGAATCATAGCAGCTCCATTTTGGAAGCTCAAATTGGGAAGCTCCAATTTGGAGCTGGCAGCTCCATTTTGGAGCTTCTGATGTTTTTACTTTAGCAGCTCCAAAGCTGCTAATCAACATGTTATAAGTTGCCAGCAGCTTCATTTTGGAGCTGCTAATGTGTATGCTCAAGCCTTTTCCTGCCTCTTTCAAACAACAGAACATTGCCCCTGTGGTTGCCTGCACAAGGCAAACAACAATAAGCTGAGTTTGCTTGCATGCAAGGCCAAGAGCTGAAGCTTTTTTTAATTGCCAAAAAGCTTGCTTCTAAGGCATGTCATGTATCTATGTTTCAGAATAGTTATGCCTGAAGGTTGCCTGCACAAGGCAGAAACTTTTTCATTTCATGCAAGTCACAGTGTGCTTTTGGAAACATTTGAGTTTTTGGTGTTGCCTGCATAAGGCAAGAACTATCCTATAGGTTCCCTGGTTTTGCAGGGTTTGTTGGGGCAGGTGTTTTTTCTGCAGTGCTTGGCTCAAGCTAGCTGACTGCTCTTGCTCTCTTTCACTCTCGGTTTTTGCAGGTTTGGGGCAATGCCTGGCCTGCATAAGGCCTAGGTTTTTGTGTGTGCCATGGTGGTAAGTGCCTGGCCTTGGAGCAGCCCTGTCTGGTACCAGGGCAAGCTGTGGAAGCGCCATGAGCCCACAGGGTGGTGGGCTGAGGTGAATTTGAATGGGGAGCTGGCCCATGAGGATGATTGGGACTGGTTCCTAGAGCATGGGTTTGAGGTCCCTCTTCCTCCTCAAGAGGAGGAAGAAAAACCCATTGCAGTCCATTGATGAAGAAGAAGAAGAGGAGGAGGGCAAGCACTCCTCTTCTTCCACTGCCCCTTCAGGGTTGCCTGCACAAGGCAAAAGCCTGGACAGTTGTCTGGCTGATCTGCAGGATTTGCTGATGAAAGGCGATGTGAAAGAGAAAGCCAAATTTGACAGATCTGGATACAGATCTCAATTGAGGAGAACTGTGAGGAGGCTGTGTGAGAGGGAAAATCTACCCTATCCTGGATGGCTGTCTGGCGATGACATGACCATCCACCAGTACAAGAACAAGGTGGTCCAGTTCATTGATCAGCTCTTGAAGACAAGGGCCAATGAAGCTGAAAGGTTGCCTGCAAGCACAGCCTCAGGCTCAGCCTCTTCACCTGCCCCAAGTGGGTTGCCTGCACAAGGCAATTGCCACCCTGCTGAGCCATGCCCTGCTGCAGAACCTGCAGCATCTGGAGGTGAAGTAACTGAGCCATCACCAGCAAGGATTGTGCTGTGTATGATGGAGAATGTTCTCTCCAGCCTGGAGACCTTGCACCCAGGAGTCAGGTCAGAAGTGAGGGAAGCCTTTGGCTCCCCAAGAATGCCTGAAAGGTTGCCTGCACAAGGCAATATGACATGTCCTCCTGAGCCTGTACCACCACCAGAAGAGTCAGACACCAACAGCAGCTACCAGGAGGACCCAAGGAGGACCAGGTCTGAGCCACCAAGGTCACCAAAACAAAGTGTAGAGGAGGAGGCCTTGCCATCAGGGTTGCCTGCACAAGGCAGTGCAGCTCC